GCCCACCCCAGCCCTCTCCGAGGTCCATGGCAAATGCTGCCTACAGAGAGGGCGGTGAGCCTAAGGAAACTAATGACCCAGAAAAATGTAGGGCACAGATTTCCACACTCAGGGTGGGGGAATGAGGGTAGAGAACTACGTTTGGCAATACTGCCCCCACCCATGGCATTGGCAATCCCGGACTGAGATTAAAGCTAGAACAAGAAATGAGTGGTATGCTCACAGCAATCCTTGGGGTGGACTCAACCACCTCAGTCCCAGCCCATCTCTTGCCTCCGCCGAACCTTATAGGCTCTCTAATCCTAGCATACTGATGCTGTTCTCATCAGAGTCTTTGGAAGACTCAGTTATCTACAGAAGCTAAATTTATTAGAGTAGTTCTGGGTCAGAGGAGGGGAAAGAAAGGGGGGAAGTAGAGGAAAGCAGATGAACCAAATGAAAACTCCACAGATTCATTTGGCACCCTTCCTCCCCGCCCTCTCCCAGGTCTCAGCAGAGAGGGAATTCTAAGTTGTAGGTGAGAGGAAGTCTCATTGCTGCCCTCATCACTTCCCTACACAGACTACACTCACACACACTCACACACACACACACACACACACACACACACGCTTGGTATAAGGCTGTTCTTCCTCGCTCTGCCTTAACTCTCAATCTTAGCCACACCTGACATTTCATCTTAATCCCACTGTAGTCCCTAACAATGACTCACAAACAGGAGATCCACAATCCCCCAGATAGTTTTTGTTTGGTGGGCTTTGTTTATTTGTTTTTTAATGAAACTGTTGTTGTTGTTTTTGTTGTTAAGTGCCTTCAAGTCTATTCCAACCCATAGTGACCCTGTATAGGGTTTCCAAGGAGAAGCTGGTGAGCTTGAACCACTGACCTTGCAGTTCAAACGACTTTGCAGTCTGACGCATTAGCCCACAGCGCTACACCAGGACTCCTTAATGAAATTACTTGCTAACAATTAAAAATCCATTCTCTAATTTTTTTCCTCAAAAACCAAATGGCATGGCCACACTGGTCTGATATGTGTCCATGACAGTACTAAGCTGGGGAGCCTTGTCCTCGCTGGTGGGATGGCTCCATATGTCCAGCCTCATGTGCTTGACCTACTTGTCTCAGTAGGACAACTCTTGCCTCAGTGTCCAAAGGTCCTAATTCCCAGGTATTCCCTTCTACTGATCCCAGGTGTCCTGCTTGACTCTTCCTGGACCCAGATATTCAGATCCCACTGCACCTGTCCATACTTGACCCTGACCTAATTGTTACCTACTGTTTACTGACTGCCCTTCTGTTTCCCTTTAGCACAGAGAACTGGCCTCAATTCCAGGTCCCTCTGCTGCTCCTCCCGCTCTTTTAGGTCCCCACCCTACTCCCCTGCATCACCTACCTAGCAGCTCCTCCTCCCCAGGTCAGGTCAAACCCAACAGGAATAACAGCAGAGGCTTCATACTTCTGTGTCTGTTCCTCAGCAAGCCCTCCACCTTTATCCTAAGGAAGGCTTGTACCCAACCCTCAAGCCCACCACCTTTATTCCAGGAAAGACCTCCCACCCTACTCTTTCGTCATGACTCAGCCCACCCCACTCTCAGGTGCATAAAAAGAAGAAATTGAGAAGGGAAGGAACACCTCAGCAGGGAGGGTAAGAAACTGGGACAGATCCCCAGGAGCTGCTTGCCAAGGACCCATAATCCTGTGTCCCCACTGAAGCGAAGTCTAAGTCAGGTGGTCAGGTGGTCAAGTGAGCAGCACGCTTCCTCCACTTACGTCAATAATTGCTTTCCAGTTGAAAAAAGGAGTGTTATGTTTGAAGTCCTGGAGGGAGAAGGAGAGATCAGTGACCCGCAAGAGGACAATTCAGAGAGGGGTAAGGAACATTGTGTTGGGACAGGTTTCAAAATCAAGTGTAGGTGTGGGATTTGGGGTTAGATGAAGATAAGACACCAAAGGTTGGGATATTAGAGTTTGTTATGGTGTTATGGGTTGGGTGAGGTTACCAGTCTCAAAAATGAAAAGAGGGGGAATTGTTTTGACCAGTTGGCTGGACCTGGTGGCTGCCTTGAGGAATGTGTAAAGAGGGCGACCAGAACTCTAAGTTCTTCTCAAAGGCTCATACCTCCCAGAGTCGGCTGAAGTAGAGGAGGGCTCGAGTGCTGGGGGCTGGGATTTGACCCTGTGGATGAAAAGTGGGGAGCAGATGAGCAAGGGGACTGATCTCCTGTTTACCAAACCCCCTTATTCCCCCTACACTTGTTTCTTAGCTTTTAAATTTTTCTTTGTGACTGAAGTTCAAGGAAAGCTACAGTGATAACCAGAAACCACTTTGGGAAAAAGACGAGCTCTGTAGAGCCGCTAAGCCCTCGCCCTCACCCATCTACAGTGTCCTCTATGCCTGCTTCCCCCAGCCTCTGATAAAACATAATTTTAGCAAATCACCTGCCATGCCTTCTCCAGTCCTTTTCCCAAAAACTGGGCCTGCATTAATCTCTTCCATAAGCCATTAGACATTTTTTGACTTGGTAAATAACATAAAATGGCTTGCTAACAAAAATCAGATTTCTAGCGTCTCTTGAAAACTCCGATGTCAGGGCCACACTGGTCTGACATGCATGCCTGACAACACTCAACTGGAGAAACTTGATCACTCCCCAGAAGAATCCCACCTGTCCAGCCTCAAATCCAGCCCCCAACAACTGTAGAGACAGAAGACAGGAACAGAGACTGGGAGTCTGAAGTAGCCAAGGTATATCACAAGGACAAGGATGAGAATCAGTAATGAGATCATGATGATTTAGGAAGAGGGATGGGAGAGGGCTCCCATCCATCTTTATATCGTCTTCTCTGGAAGTCATGAGGTATGAAAGGTCCTCTGGTCCTGGGCAAAGAAATTCAGTTCTAAGAGAAAACTCGAGGAATTCAACAGAGTAGTGGACTGAGGGGAGGGTAGAAAGGACCCCCACTCCAGAAATCTGCAGAGACCTTTTTGCTCACTGCTGTCTTCCAGTCAAATCCAGATATCCCTGCTCAGGTTTGAGAGCCCCCAACTTTACCAGGAATGATGTTAATCTAGTTCCCCTCTCCTCCCGCCTCACTATGGGTCAGTTATCTTTTAATCACTCCCGTTAAGTACATCTCAAGATTCACAAAAAACCTGTGGCTGTTTGTCCTGGCCCTCTCGGAGGTGTCTGGGCTTTACCATAAGGTCCTCCCTGCTCAGGGACCTGGTTGCCCCATCGTCCACAAGAAGAAGACTGTCCCCATCAGAGACCGAATGTTCTCTATGTTCATTCATGCCCGAAATCCTCAGCAGCTGGCACCTTTGGCACTCTTTTCTCTCACTTCCCCATCCCAATCCCAGTCTTTAATGTTCCTGGGGTTTGGGCTAGCTTGTTGCCTCCCCACACTCCATCACCACCCTTCCTCTATAAAGACCACAAGTTTTGTGAAGGTCATTCTTTGACAGTAAGGGTCAGAAATTTCACTGCTCACAGGGACCAGTCCAATGGCTGAAATGACCTTGATGAGCAGAAGGGGTTTCACCCAGGGTCCAGCAAATGCCTCTTTGCAAGAAGCAATTTCTACTCTGCTAGAACCCTCACCACCCTGTGGACAGGGGACCCAACATGGCCAAAATAAAAGAATCCAGAACTATAAATCATTGTGAGCTCTCTCAATGTTTCAACTTTGGCAAATAATTCATATTGTTTTTTTTAAACAAGAGTGAATTCAATAAAACATCTGTGAGCCACCAAAAGCTATAGCTTTTGCCTTTGGTGTTTGCTTGAGTTGTTTATCTGCCATTTGCCTCTCTACTCAAGAGGTGCATCTACTCTCTGGTGTCAAATGGCAGCCTGGTTGGGTTCTCCTGCAGGAAGGATGAGAGGAGGGCAAGGAGGAAGGAAAGAAGAGGTTCTGAACCCCAAGTATCTCCTAAGGTCATGTACAGACAGGGCCTGTCACCCACCAAGCTCTCAGGATGTTCACTGTCTTCTCTCTTCTCCCCTCTCAGTGTGAGGGGCCTCAGCCCTCACGTGGCCTTTTAGCTCCACCTGAGTCCTCACCAGATCTATCCCTCACCCCTACCTCTCTGCTACCTCTCTAACTTCCTAAGGATTAGGCCTCTTTACTCTCCCCTTAGCTCGTGTAGCAGAGCGGATCACGACTTGGGTTGCTAACCACACAGTTAGTAATTCGAATCTACCAGTCTCTCCATGAGAGAAAGATGAAGCTTTCTGCTACTGTTAAGACTTAAAGCCCTGGAAACCCTATGTACAGCGTTGCTATAAGCCAGACCCAACTCTGTGGCATACAACCACCAACACCATCACTCTGCCCTAACCCTGCCTGGTCCCAAAGGGAAGGAAAGGAAAGAGGCTCAGCCCCTCCTCCTAGTCCCAGCTGTCCCAAATTCTCCCTCTCTTTTAAGATTTCTGCTGTCCTTGCCCAAGTTATTTTGAGCTTTCTTCATAGCCTTCATCATTGTTTCCCTGGCTTAACAAGCAGAGGTTTCACTTTCTTCTCTATCCCCTGCTCCCACAAAGATTGAGATGGCCTGGCTCCCCAGCCCTTACCTTGTTTATGGCATCCCAGTTAATAAAACCCAGCTTGGATTTTAAATTCTGCAGAGAAAGAAAAAAAAAAAGAGGGTTACCAAATTGGTTCATAGCTTGTCTCTGAGCCTCAGGATAGAAGAAGTCAAGGGCCACATTTGACTACTGATACAGAAAGATGTAGCGTAGTGGTTACGAATCGGGCTGCGAACCTTAAGGTCAGCAGTTCGAAACTACCAGCTGCTCCGTGGGAGAAAGATCAGGCTTTCTACTCCCGTAAAGATTTACACCCTCGGAAACCCTGTACAGGGTCGCTATGGGTCGGAACCGACTCGACGGCACTTAACAACAACAACAACAGAAAGATGACTTTAGCCTGTGGGGACAAGGGATGGGATCGGTTTTCCAAAAGACAGTGAGCAGAACAAATTTTTTAGAACTCACCTTCCAGAAAGCGTCAAACTTGAAGGGTCCACCCGGAGAGTTCTAAAGGAACGAGATGAGAGATGAGATGAGAGTAAGAACCCAATTCTATGAGAAGGTGGCAGGGCAGGCGATCCGAGTGGAAGAAGGGAAGACAAGGATTAGTTAACACCATGGTCACAGCCCAAAGTGAAATGATGCCTCCACTCACCAAAGTATTGAGTCCATTGAGTTGACCTCCTCCATTCTCCTCTCCAAACCATTGTCCCTGAGTGGAAGAAAGGGGACTGATGTCCAAGGTTTTTGCATACGGGGGCTCAGACCACCTATCAGCTTGTACCTGGCCCACTCATCTCCACAGTGTTCAAGTTCTGTGTACTCATCTCTGTAAAGACACCTTCTTGTTTTCTTGAAAGGGACCTAAAAATCCCGCCTCCTGAAAGCTTTCCCAGAATGACTTGTTGCCTGTTACCCCTACCCAATCCCTTACCTCTCTTTGTTTCCTGACCCCAAAGCATCACTAGTTATGAGAGTGGCTAACATAGTCCCACTTTGCACTGAGTAACCTGGCCATATCCTGAGATATTCCTATGTGGAAGGTTTCTCCAGTTCACAGATGAGAAAACTAAAGCTAAGAGTAACCCAAGAGCTGGCCTCAGGACCTGTCTCCATGTCTGACTCCAATGTATAGACTCTGTACCACCTTAGTCTGTTACGATTCAGAAAAGTCTACAATAAGTATGGGACGTGAGCAGGTTACATGTCACTGTCCCTGTATTATTTACCCAAGAGGAAGCTCTGGCTCAGAGAGGTTAACCGATTTGCCTGAAGACACACAGCTCACAAGTGATAGAGCTGTAGTTTGAACCCCATTTTTGGAACTCAAAGTTCAGTGGCTCTCCATTTTCAATATTGCCTTCTTAAATATGGTCTTTAAAAAGCACTCTTTTGACCATGTTATTATTTTTGTCTGCTTTTCTCCTCACAAAGGTGAATGAATTGCATAGTTTGGATGAGAACCCAAATGAATGTGCACAGGTTCAAAGCAACCTGCAAGAAGAAACTGATACTTCTTTCCTCAGGTCCCTGGCATTATGTCCCTACACTGCACCATCCCTCTCCTAAACCAATCCTGTCTGCTCCTAGGCTCACCTGGTAGTTGCCTTGAGAATTCTCAAGGATGCGACTGCCCTCTCCACTGACTTCCTGTGAAGAAAACAGGCAGGTTAGGGAGAAAAGGCAGAATAGCAGGGTTCCAGTCAAAGCTTCCTGAATCAGGGCACTGAGGCATGAACGTGTCAGAGGACTTCCCAGGACTAGACTCCTTTACCTGGATAGCTCCATCTTCCCTGGGAAATCTTGATCCAGCCTTCCGTGGCTTGGAGTACTGATCACTAATGATGTTTACGAATAACATCACCATCTTGGTTTATATTCATTTATGCAAGTTGTCCAAAATCCAGAAGGAAGGGCCTCTGCCACCAACACATCTAAATTCTTCCCTGGTTTTGAGGCAGGACTGAACCAGACTATTGTATTGAGTTGATTGAAACTTAAGGTCCTTTGGGGACTGATAACGTTACATTGGTCAGAACGGTGATGCTCACAAGGTAGCTGAGGTAGACTGGTTAGTCCCCTCCCAAATTAGAGGTAGGCACCTCTTGAGTCCAGCTTACATTATTTGGTGTGAAATATGATGAATCCCAGACTCATCCACTCTTCGTCTTTATCTTACACCAGGATGTAGGATTATCTATTCCCTGCCCCCCATTAGTATTGCTACTGGAGAATGGACCCCCACCAACAGTCTCCTTTCAAAGCCTTCTTACCCTGACACCAGAGTAGCTGGGGCCTCCCTGTCCTCTGAATCCCTAAAAGACAAAACAGAGAGATACAGCTCATTTTAGAACCTGGAGCCAGCCTGCAAATTGCATTAATACAGTTTCTTGAAAATTCCTCATGCAATTCTCTTTTTGGAACTTGTTGAAATAGCCTTGAAAATCATTTGAGAAGATAAATATCTAAGAATAAGTAATAAAGGCACTGGAAAAGATAAATGGCAGAGGAGAACTTAATATAATGTAAAGCTATCTTCTTGTAAAGTTCCCTAGCTCCTCTCCCAGAATAGAGGGATCCATTTAGCAAATAGAAACCCCAGAAGCTCCCCCCAAATATGTAGGTATTTACAAGTGGCATTTTAAACCAGTGATGGAAATGATTCAACACATGGGACTGGGAATATTAGTTATGTGTTTGTGGGGTGGGATTACTTAATCAATTTCCTGCCTTCTGTTTCTATCTGATTTTTCCCTCATAAGGGAGTCCTGGTGTGGCACTATACGATAAACACTTGCTCGAAAGGTCAGTTTGAACCACAAGTTCAGCAGTTCAAACTCACCAGCCGCTCCTCTGAAACCCTATACAGGGTCACTATGAGTCAGAAATGACTCAATGGCACTTAACAACAACAACCACAGGTAAGCACACAGCTCTGATTCAAAGTGGAGACTACGTCTGGTTGAACTGAGGAGTAAGACTAAACAATATTTAGAAAAGGACATTCCAGGAGAATTAAAAACTTAAATTGAAAAAAATGAAATGTTAGAAGTCGAAGTAATACTAAAAACCTTTAAAGCAGTTCAAGAGCAGAAACCATGAAAAACAGATTGACAGATTTGACTATCTACAAATTTAATAAGACTTTGGTATATCAAAACGATATCAACATTTAGTATATTGAAACTGTTACCAGAATTGGAGTAGAGTTATAAACTGAGAGAAAGGTTCTTAAAACCTGTACACCCACAAAAAGCGGTGTCAGTTGTTTGTTCAGCGTTGTCTGGTTGGTTTCTGACCCTTGGTGACCCTCTATAGGGTTTCTGAGGAGCCATCAACCTTGCAATTAGCAGTTCAGTGCGCATCTTACAGCACCACACCCCTTGATATATGAGGAGCTCTTCAGAAAGCCCCCTCCCCCGCCTTCTTCCCCTGCCCTTTCTCCCCACCGGGCCTTATTGCTCTGACCATACAGACCAGCAGTGTGTCAGTTTGTTAGAAACACGGCATCTTGGCCCCACCCCACACCTACTGAATCAAACCTGCAGTTCCACAGGGTAATTCATGTGCATGTTAGTGGGACATTCTGTCAGCCTTGGATGCTGACAGAAAGCCCAGGTTTCCAGAGTAACTAGAGAGGAAATGTATATTTTCTACTTCTCTCTGTCAAAGTGTTCATCCCCGAACTCTGTTTACTGGCCACAAGTTGAACATCTGAAATAGTTCCACGTGTGAAAGGACTGGTCTACACACGATTTCTCACAACCCCATCTATGCTGTAAAGTAGGGCATGTTACGTAAGGATTTGCAATTCATTGTTACGTTCGAGCTTTTCAGTATTTCAAATACTGAAAAATACATTTACTTTCTTCACCTCAAATTGTTAAGTTCCCCTTAGACAGAAGTTAGCAATAAGAATGGGACCAAGCAGTGAGTTCACTTATGAGGGGTGGGTACCACTGTGGTGACAAACTGGAGTGACCCCAGGTTTGGCTCTCACCTGACCTCCAGATCCCCCGGACATGCGGATTTCGTTCCCTGAATAATCGCACTGGGGGAGAAAGAGAAAAGGAAGACTTTTTCTTCCTCCCCTCCCAAATTCTAATTCCAAGCCCCAAATAAAAGCATGTTAACCCAAGGGTATCCCATTGGATGCTTCACCGCCCCTTATTTTACTTCCCGAAGTTTAAGGGTGACTTGTTAACACTCAAGTTACCCACCACACACTCACCTCGGGTTTATTGCCATTTCCGCTGCTGCTACTTGAAGAAGAGCCGGTGTTGGATCCCTGCAAAGAAAAGCCAGAGTTCATATGCTGTTTTTAAAGGGCTTGGAAAGGGTTCAAAGAGTTCCCAGCTGTATTGTGACTTTTTAAACTCTCCATTTGGACTCCAACTCTCTCCCTAACCTCCATACCTGCCCCATGGTTACCCAGCTGGGTTACCAAGTGAAGTTATTCTGAGCGCAGAGACGGTCAGGTGTGATCAAATGTATTTGAAAGTGTGTGGTCATGTAGGGACTCTGAGCTGATGCTTCCCACCCCCATCTGCATGGGTTGGAAAGACTGGAGTCAAGCTGCATAAAAGCGAACGTCTTTGCCACTAGGGGGCAGGCTGGGTCTCCTACTGTCCTCCCTCAGCCTCTTACCTGGGAGCCTGAGTAGCTGCCGCGATCTATATCCCTATTGCTTTCCAAGGGTCGGTCCTAGATGGAGAAAGAGGGATAGTCACAAGAGCAGTCAATGAAAACAGCTTGTGTTATTTGACTTGTCACGGTTACTTACCTACTCTTGCCTGAATATTTTCCCAGGCTTCCCCAAACTGCCAGGTGTGGCTCCCTCTCATGGAGTGGCCAGGCCTGGACTCCCTCCCTAAGATTCTCACACATCATGTGGGAGGACTCATGTGGGTACTACATTTATCAGTGTCATCCACTCCACAGTTCTGTAAAAGTCCTTAAATCTCCATGTGTGTGGTCCTGTCCCCATTTTTCCGGGAACTTCCCAAGAGCAAGGAGCAAGTGTGGTATTTTTCTGTACCCACCCCTCTTCAAACATCTGCCAGCCCCAGGTCTACTTGGACTTTCCAGGTGACCATGAACTGCAGGAATAGACATTAGAGAGGAGATAGGGTAGAAGATAAAGGACTAAAAGGAGTAGAAATAGGTAGGGCATCTAACTTCTGGAAAAAGTATGGTGGTGATGATGGTGGTTATGTGCCATGGAGTCAGTTCCGGCTCATAACGAACCTGTATAGGGTTTCTGAGGCTGTAAATCTTTACGGAAGCAGAAAGCCTCATCTTTGTTCTGTGGAACAGTTGGTAGCTTTGAACTGCTGACTTTGAGGTTAGCAGCCTGACTCGTAACCACTACATTACCAGTTCTTCTTCTTAAAAGTATAGTGCACATTTAAGGAGCAGCGCTTGATTGGGGCTGGGAGAGTGGAGAACAGAGGCTGAGGGAGCCTGCAAATGGCAAATACCACTGATGCCACCCACCTCGGGCATTCAGTGGTTTGGGGGGAAATCTTAGAATGCCTCTCCTCTGATCAGGGACCTCACCCCCATTTATAACTTCAGGGAAGGAGCAAAACTCACCCAGTTGGGCCCTGAGCTGCTTCCCCCACTGTTGCCACCATTGCTGCTTCCGCTCCCCTGTGAGTTAGTACTGCCCTGAGGAGCAGAAAGAGACCAGAGTAAGGACCATGATGGGAACATGGAGATCAGCTTCCTTGCTCCTCTTTCTTTGCCCACTCTAAGGCAGGCCAAGTTTCTCTATTTCTTTTCTGTGCAATATATCTCAAGTTGACCCTGTCTTCTTACCCCTGAGTTGTTAGAGCTTTCACCGGAGCCAGAGGGTTGGGGATTGATGCACTGTGGAGGGGAGGGGACAAGTGAAGTTAGAGACGTCAATCAAAGCCATCTACACAAACCAGGGCCTTCCTGCTTAGGTTAACCGTTCTTTCCCCTAACATGTTGCTTTACAATTCCCCACCGTTCTTCTTGTCCTCCTTCCCACATTCATCTGTCCAATCCAACCTTCTTCTTACCGCACCTTCTCCCTTCCCCATCATTCTTATCATTTTGTCTTTCTCCCACCTTCTGCCAAATGCCCTCAAACCCCCCTTTCCTGGCCCAGACTTTTCCTTTTTACCCCAGTATTCGGGTTGCTGCCGCTGCTTCTCCCTGAATTATAACCAGGCTGGGCCACAGCTCCCTACAGGGAGGGAGAGACTGGTATGAGGTGAGGAAGACAGAGAGGGATTGGTGGGAGAGAAGGAAGTGGCTGGTAGCAGCCTCCGCTCTAGTGCTTTACCTGACTGTTGGTTCCAAAGCTGAATGGTCTTCCATTGCCTCCTTGACCCCAGGAGCCTCCCTGAGAGTTGGTTACAAAATTGCCACCTGAGCCACTGGGGTGTCCATGTCCCCAGGGAGCTCCTGGGCCTCCAGGATTTCCCTGGCTATGACCTCCAAAGCCACCTTGAGATCCAGAGACTCCAGGGCCTCCAGATAGAGGCTGGCCATTGGGTCCCTGCAAAGACACCACACCTGCACTTAGTGTGACTACCTCTGACTCTGTGTGGTAGAGGAAGGACAGACATAACAACCGTAGGTAGAGAAGTTTAGGGAGAAGGAGCAGAACACCTGCTGAAACGTCCCCCAGACAACCCTAAATAAAAGACCCATCCATCCTTTTAAATGATTCTCAACCCAGCTTCCACGGCCCCTCCTTCCACACCTGGCTCCCCAGCCACTCACCCAGGCACCGTTGTTACCAGGCACACCTTGCCAGGAGTTGTGGGCAGCATCTATCCCATGTCGGATGATATTCTCAGCCTGTCTGCCAGCCTCACCCCCAGCATTTCCAAGAGCATGGACTGCTTCCCTGACCCCATTGTTGATGGCATCTCCCACTCCAGGTCTCATAACCTCCCTGACTCCAGAGCTGGCTGCTTCTCCAGCTCCTTGGCCAACAGCCTCCCCAACTCCATGACTACTGGTACCTCCCAGCCCATGCCCAATGCCAAAGTTTGCTCCAGCATTTGGCCCCCCACTCAACAATGGGCCAGCCTCCCCACTGCCCAGGCACAGGGCCAGTAGGAGGTAGACTAGGGACCCCTGCCACTTCATTTCCACCTTACTGAGTCCCTCCCTCTTGTTCTCTCTCTTCTGTCTTCCTCTTCTTCCCACCCGAATTTGATTCTTTCTATCCTTTTTCTTCTATGTCTACACACACACACTGCTCAGTTCTTTTCTTGTTTCTGACTTTTTGTTCCTCCCTCCCTCTGGGTCTGCAGCCTTCTCTCTCCTTTCCCAGACTCCCCTGGCTTCCCAGGGTTCACCTCCCTGTCTCTACTCCTTATACTGTAGCCTGGGAGGAGAAGAGACAGGGCTGGGCCACCCAGAGTCCCTCCCCTGGTGACTCAGGACCTAGCCACGGATAGGGTAATGAGCTGTAATTGGGAGTTTGAGAGTGGGTGTTGAAACAGAGAGGGAGACCTCTCGTATCAAAGAGGGAGGGAGAAATGAGATGAGGTGGGTACAAAAGTGTTCCAATTTCCCAACCCCAGGAATTTGGGGCATAGGGTGGGGGTAGGAGAATCTGAGGAGATAGGCTGTTGGTGTTTCTTGGAGGCAGGGGGTGAGGGGAGAGAAACTTGGGAGTGAGAAATCATTGTTAGAACCAACCAGGGTGCAAGGATAAGGAAGCCCAGCTGAGTGAGACCCACCGTAGCCAGGCTTGCAGAGGGGTACCAGGCGTCTTGTCTTGATGTCTTTCTCAGTTGCAGTAAGCCTTTGTCTCACAGCTCTCTCCCACACTGCCACATAAAGGTGGCTGACCTCAAGTTCTCCCACACTGTCCAACCCACATGAGGAGAATGGAAGCCGTGAGGACCACTCAGGGTTCTGGGGAAAGCCCTCAATGGGGACCCCAGGTGGCCATTGAGAAAGTGACCATGAGCTATGCAATCACCTGGGTGTCTCAGCTTAGTATGCGGACTGCTCTTGGCTGGGGAATCTAAGTGAGGAGCAGGGAAGCTGGGCGGGTCAGATGCCTCTGGGAAAAGATCCAGGAAGGGAGCAGTTGGCCATCCTGTTTACCCAGCCTTGGAGGGGGCATGGATATGTGAGCTCACAGGCCTCCTGTGAAAGGTGGCTCTGCACCATTCACCCCCTCCCAACCCTTCCCCAGGGGCCTGAGCAGAACTGGCAAGCAAGGAGGGGTCAGTAAACGGGCCAGAGCCAGCGGCCAGCACCATGGCCCTCACCCCTAATCCCAAATTAGCATGTAGAACTGGGACATCCTCTGGGGTCTCACCCCTGTTCAGCAAGTGTGGCTACTTCTCTGTTCCCAGGAGTCCCAGGTCCTCCCACTTGGCAGCATTTCGTATCACTGGGATTCATCACCTGGTTAGGAGGGGTCAGTTTCCATCTGCCTTTCTCAATGTCTCTCAGTCAGTCTCTTCCTCCCTGGTTTTAACCAACACACCCTTACCTGTATCATCCCAAAACTTCTTACCATGTAAACACAATCCCTCTCTGTCCTCAGCTTCTACCTCCCTGTGATTCCATCTCTGACTCTTTAATAATGATAATGATGGTGGTAGTAATTATTATTATTACTATTATTACCACTATTACGGTTGCCGCTTCAGTTTATTAAGGACTTTCTGTGTGCACCGTGCTAGACTAAGCACTTTAAGGCTCAAACAGCCTTGGAGTGTGGCGCTGTAGGTTTAGCACTAGACTGCGAACCACAAGATTGGCGGTTCAAACCCACCAGCTGCTCCTCAGAAACCCTAAAACAGGGTCGCTGTGTGCTGGAATTGACTCAACAGCACTTTAACAACAGCAACAGCCTTGGAGGTAGGCCCTATTATAACCCCATTGAGAGACATAGAAATTAAGTCTCAGAGAGGACACGGTACGTAGGTGGTGAAGCTGAGGACCAGTTCCAGACCTGCCCTCAGTCCTAAACCCTGGCTCCCAAGTACTGTTTGGCTCCCAAGCAGTGTCTCAAATCTCCCCATGCACTTAAAAAGTCATCCTCTGGATAGAATTAGCTTAGGTTTTATCCTAGGAGCCTTGTGTGAGGAGAGAGGATGGTTGGACTAAATCTGAGCTTTGCAAGATAGGTGTAAGGCTTGCCCTTTCCAGCTTTCCAGACCAAGACTATAGGGCAAGATGAGGAGTCCTGCGTAGAAGACTTGCTGGCTCAGACTCCTGCACAGACCTCCTTTCACTGTGTTTTTTATCTGCCGCCCATTCCTGGTGTGACACTGAAAAATAAGCACTGGACTGCTAACTGAAACCTCAGTGGTTCAAACCCACGAACTACTCTTCCAAAACCCTGTACAGGGTCACTGTGAGCCAAAACCAACTCAACGGCACTTAGCAACAACAATAACATTCTCTGTTACTAATATGTTTATCTCCTGTAAATAGAAAGTCAGGATTGCTTGTCCATAAATAGAAGTTACCAGAAAAATACAATGATAAGCAAACCGTGGTATTGTTTGGGTTAGATCTGGCAGCAGTTCCTATGACCTTGGTTTAAAAAGGGAGATTAACAAGTGTGAGAAAGGTGTTCGGGGCACAATAGCAAACAAATTGTCTTGCTGTTTAGCATAATCAGAAGGCTTGAAGAAGTAAGTTTCTCACGGGTGTGATTCAATGTTATTCAAAGCCATGTTCACAAGCCACTGAAATTCCCCTCACGACACCAGCAGTCCATGGTTTACCTTCTGGCAAAAACTGCCTTCAGACGTCTCTAGACCTGAGGAACCACTTCAAATCAGACTCCCAGCACATCCATTAAATATGTTTTGGCTCCGAGTAAAGGGTGTTTTCACATGCATGACCTCCTTTAAGTCTCACTAACATTAAGGAGTACTGGTGTGGTGTGCAGGATAAGCACTGGACCACAAGATCAGTTTGAACTGCAAGGTTAGTGGTTCAAACTCACCAGAGACTCCTTGGAAACCCTATTCAGGGTCTCTATGGGTCAGAACTGACTCAATGGTACTTAACAACAACCCAACATCAACAGGGAGGTATCATGCCCATTTTACAAATGCATTGACCAACGTTCAGAACAGTTCAACATCACATGTGATCATCTATAAGAAGATCACAGTAAATGCAGCTGTGAGAATTTGACTCAGTGTTTTGTCTCCTATATCACCAGGCCTTGTTCTTATAGTACAATAGCATCTACAACTCTGACATGCCCACATCGTGTTCAGACTCCTCGGGTTTCAGCCTTTATTTCTAATTCAATACTTCCTTCCGTCAACAAGTCTTTATTGAGTACTTACTGTGTGCCACATGTCCCCTAGGCACTGGGGATTCGGCACAGAACAATCAAAATCACTCGACTCGGGGAGCTGGCATTCATTGTGGGGGAAGCAGACAACAACCATGAGGTAGTGATGCAAACTATGGGGAAAAATCACAGTGGGGTAAGGAAATAGACACTGATGAAAGGAATATTTTAAATAGTGAAATAAAAGGGAGAGGGCATTTTGAGCTGAGACCTGAAGGAAGAAGAGAGAAAGTGAAGTATAAGGGTTTCTGGGAATAATGTATTCCAGGCAGAAGGAACAGCACTGCAAAAGACTCTGAGATAGGAGTCAGCTTGGTAGATTTCATCACCATTGTGGTAGAAGCAGGAAGAAAATGGTAGGAGTTGAAATTTAAAAAACAGAAAGTAGTGGGGTCAGATTGTGGGGTTTTGGGGGCTATTGTGAGGACTTGGGCTTGTGCTCTGATTTGAGGGCGAGCTCTGAGCTGAGGAAGACTATGGTCTGACTCAAGTGTTAGCAGGGTTCCTCTGGGAGCAGACTGTGAGAAATGGAGGGCTAGAAAACCAGAGAGCAGGCAGCAGCAAAAGTCCGGGTGGAGAAGAAGGAATTTGGAAGCAAGTATGGCAGTGGAGATGGGGTTTGGGTGATGACTCTACTCTCTTCTATGGGGTCCCAGACCTCAAACTGCTGTCAGCAGACTCATTTTGTTCACAGTGGCCCATTATAAAGCCTAGGTACATATCCCAGCTCCACCACTTACGAGCTCGGATCCCAACCAGTCTATGCAACAGTTTCCTTATCTGTCAAAAGAGGTTAACATGATGATTAGATGATGTAATACATGTAAACAGAATAATCCACAAAAGAGCTTAGAACAGTACCTGGCACACAGGGACACTCGATACATGTTCTTGGTATGTTGGTCATGTTAATGTTGTGATGACACATGTTCTTAGTATGTTGATCATGTTAATGTTGTGAGAGTGCTTTCTTGACAATTGTTTAATTTTAACACACTCACTTCTGAAAGGACCGAATGCAAAAACTTATTTTTAATGAGGACTTATTTTTAAGTAACCCTGTACCCCTACCCAAGGGTCATAGTGAATCATGCCCTCTTACTATAGGCAGTAAGATTCTCCTAGAAGAAAGGATGGCGAGACTTCATCTCACATCCTTTGGACATGTTATCAGGAGGGACCAGTCCCTGAGGAAAGACATCATGCCTGGTAAAGCGGAGGGTCAGTAAAAAAGAAGACCCTCAACAAGATATCATAGTGGCAGCAACACTGGGCTCAAACACAGCAATGATGGTGAGGATGGTGTAGGGCCGGGCCATGTTTCCTTCTGTTCAGCATGGGGTCGCTATGAGTCGGAACTAACTCAACATCACCTAACAACAACAAGAAAGGTTTTCTTGAGTTGAGTCCCACCGCCATCACTTATAAGCTGTGTAACCTGAGGTAGCTCCTTCGCTTCACTGAAGCTCAACATCATCATATGTAAGGTGGATCATCATGGTACCTGCCTCATGGGTACTTCTGAGAACAGAATGAATCATACTTATAAGTGCTTACTTAGCACAGGTGCATGAGCACCCAATAAAAAAGTGGCTGTGAGGGTCCCACCCAAACTCCTCTCCCTGTTCTTCAACTTCTGCAAAAATGGGCCCCTCCTTTTTCTTACTTCCTACACTTGCCCCGCCTGTCTTGGTCCAAGCAATCTGTTTCATGCCCACATTTATTCTAAAACCTTTCCCAAGACTTCTTGAATCCATGGTCTCCCTTTACTACTTGCCAGATATTTCAGGCTGGGCTCGGCCTC